AGCTGACGTGGGCTGACAGATCACTGTAAGGCAGTAACACAAACAAGCTGACGTGGGCTGACAGATCACTGTAAGACATTTAGAATGTGGTTTCAAAAAGAAAGGAAACCTTTGTTTAAGTAACGTCACTGAAAGGTTTCTTTAAACGTAGAAACTGTAGACAGGGCTAGTCAATAGTGGGGAAGAGGTCTGTTCCAGTTTACATAAAACACAGGAGCTTCATGACGACCAAGGATCTCATTTACTGACACCACAGTGTGGAAAGTCCTTGTCATGGGTTCGTAAGTTACAGTAGGTACTCCCCACGTGTTCATAGATTATCGTAGGTCCTCATCGTGTGTTCGTAGATTACATTAGGTCCTCACCGTGAGTTCTTAAAGTGTTGACCCTCACAGCTTGTACTTAGGATCCAGCAAGTCCTCACCATACGTTCGTAGATTACAGTAGATCCTCACCATGTGATCATAAGTTACAGTAAGTCTTCACCGTGTTTTCGTAGATTACAGTAGGTCCTCATCGTGAGTTCTTAAAGTGTTGACCCTCACAGCTTGTACTTAGAATCCAGCAAGTCCTCACCATACGTTCGTAGATTACAGTAGTTCCTCACCATGTGATCATAAGTTACAGTAAGTCTTCACCGTGTTTTCGTAGATTACAGTAGGTCCTCATCGTGAGTTCTTAAAGTGTTGGTCCTCACAGTTCGTATTTAGATTACAGCGAGTCCTCACCATACGTTACTAGATTTCAATAAATCACCACCGTATTTTCATAGGTGATAGCAGTGGTGTTAGTACTAAGTTTTATATCGTAGAAACGCTGCCAAAATTTGTCAGACGTGTGACATCACCATCTCATGCTCAAAAGCTAATTTACATTTTTGTAAGTCCACTTCAGATAAAGAAATTATATACATAACTAATTATTTGAGTAGTTACATCAGTACTAACTTGAATACACATATATTACCATGTGAAACACGTGCAGTTCAACTTTCTATAAGTCAAACAGCAAGGTCACGGAGAACATAATTGTACCACATAAAAATCACTAATATTAAACGAGATATAAAAACCCATATCTTATTAAGTTATTATATTTCTCACTGTGCTACAGTCTTAACAGCTTCGACTTTTATATTGCTTTGTACATCTCCTGTCCTTCCAACATGAATAACTAAAAAAAGCGATCTTCGCTGAATATTATGTAAAAAATACGCTTTTTTTACAAATATGTACGTTTTAAACACACAATATAATTGTAAAATGTATATTAAGTGTTTTGATACATATTTATTTCATCATTTGAACGATCTGACACATGCTCTTGACTCGGAGCAGTTGCACGGTGCCTGATGCCAGCTACTGAGGGAGAGTGACATTGTGCTGGGCAGTTTAAAATAGCTCTACCAGTGGACACAGGGGATCACAAACAGCCAGGGTGTTTTTCTGAGATTCTGGTTAGGAAAAACACTTAATATTGGGTGTGAAGTGAATAATTTGTTTTTATGTACATATTTTTCGTTTACGAAGTGTCCGAACTCAGCTCCAGTTTCAGGTGCCGGAGCGAAGTTCGTGCAGCAAATTACATTCCCGTATAACAGTAGGTCTTCACTACGTGTTTGTAGATTTCAATAAGTCCACACCATGTGCTCGAGATTACCGAGTACAAGAGTTTGAACACTGTCATAAGGAGCCTTTCACCAAGAGCAAACATCCCCTCATCTCTAAAAAAGGAGGGCACATCCATCAAAAACGTTTGCTTTTTGTGGGTCATTTTTACCACTGGTATGTTAATATATATTTAACAACACTAAATTATTAACGGACAAGTCCAGGCTGGGGCTAATTACTAATGGACAGGTCCAGGCTGTAATTATATTCTCATGGACAATTCCAGGCTGGGGTTAATTACTAACGGACAAGTCCAGGCTGGGGTTAATTACTAACGGACAAGTCCCGGCTGGGGTTAATTACTAACGGACAAGTCCAGGCTGGGGTTAATTACTAACGGACAAGTCCAGGCTGGGGTTAATTATTAACGGACAAGTCCAGGCTGGGGTTAATTACTAACGGACAATTCCAGGCTGGAGTTAATTACTAACGGACAAGTCCCGGCTGGGGTTAATTATTAACGGACAAGTCCAGGCTGGGGTTAATTATTAACGGACAATTCCAGGCTGGAGTTAATTACTAACGGACAAGTCCCGGCTGGGGTTAATTATTAACGGACAAGTCCAGGCTGGGGTTAATTACTAACGGACAATTCCAGGCTGGAGTTAATTACTAACGGACAAGTCCCGGCTGGGGTTAATTATTAACGGACAAGTC